GGCTTTCTGCAGAAGGTAAGAAAGCTTCCTCCGTTGGACAGCTTGCAATCCTGCGGGGACAAGGTGCCTGGCAGCAATTTCAGGAAGGAAAAGGGACCAGGGACTGGCTGGAGAGAATGTGCAAGGGGTAGGGAGGAAGAAGGTTTAAAGGGGAGAAAGTCACGGGAAGGAGAAACTTGGAGCTGACTCAAAGCGTAAGACAGAAGGACACTGGGCACAAGGCTGAGGGAGGAAGGGAGGAGTAAGGAGGGAAAAGGGTAGGTGATAAGATGGAGGCAGGATTATGTGTTAGAGTAAGAGGCGAGGGCAAGGAGCTTGAACTTGGTGTGTAAGGAACCAAAAAGCCAATTAGAGGATCTGGGGGGTGGGGGCAGCGCAGCCAGCCAGCACTAGAGCACACCAGACCCCGCCGGAGCCAGGGCAGAGCGGATGGTTTTAAAGCCCACGATACAGTGAGTGCCTGGAGGAGAGGCCACAGCACGACCAGGCAGAGACAGACCCACGAAAAACCCTTACAGACAAGAGAGGCGTCTACGGCAGACTCCTGTCCCGGCGACCAACACCGTCTGCAGACCAGAGATGCTCAGGCAACACGTCCACTCCTGCTCCAAGCTCCTGCTCGCAGCGGACACGTGCCCTCCTCCAGCCCAGCCAAACAAGCGAGGAGAAGCCGCTTTTCTCTTCTGAGGTCAGCACCTCACCACCCTGCCAGCGCGGCAGTGAGGATCAGCGCTGAGCTAGGACGCAGCAGGAGGTGACCCGAGTGAGCCCCAGCCGCACGCCCCGGGATGGGTTAGAGCTCCAGGAAGCGGCAGACCGGCAGAGCATCACCTGCACCGGGGACGGCCAGCTTGGAAAAGGGCATCTGTACAGCTGCAGGAAGCTTTACCTGCGAGGAGACGTTGAATTAATGAGGTTTGCCCAGCAGAAAACGGGAGAGGGACAGGGAAGGACAAGGAAGAGAGTCCTGTGCTGTGGGAAACAGGGATCAGCTCCTCCTTGCAGCAAGGTGGGGGAGGCCAGGTGAAAGCTGGTCGAGATCTCAGCAAAGGGTATTTCTGTCCAATACCAAAATTAGACAGTTTGTGGGACTGAGACCAAGGTGTCCATGCAGCACCCGCTGGCTACCTGGTGTGGCTTTGCTATGGATGGTAACCCCACACAGCTACCACGGCTCCAGCGATCTCTTCACTGACACCGAGCATCTCCAGACTCCGTTGCTTTTTGACTCTGCAGAAAAGGGCAGAGATCTAAAGGTACTCAAAGTTAGCTGTCCATTTACTAGGGTGACCTTTTCCAAATCTGCTGTCTGTAGGACCTGAAGAGAAATGGATTTACTTCAAACCAGCTGTGATGGCCACCAAATACTGGATGAATAACCACAGAGCCAAGATTTAAACATGCCAAGCCTTGTCTCATTTCTGAAAGTCCTGGCACAGGTGGCCCTATCTCATCTCTCTTCTGAGCAAGCCAAGAGATCCAACTACCCGCCAAGGGTCCTGAGGAGTCCTCAGCCCTGAAGACTGAAGAGGGATGAGAGGGACAAGAAAAGATCCTGACTATATTCTTTTTTTCCAAGCTAAAGCAGTCACTTGTACAGTGCTTCAGAAGTAATTTTAGCTAAGGGGACCACACAGAAAGTACATGCACTGGGCTGGAAACCAGATGGGCAAATACTCAAACTCATTTTTCTTTTGCTCAGTAGGCACCTGGGAAACCTCCTCGCCAGTGAAAGCAATGGGATTTAGCACTGGCCAATTTTGTGCTGGCAGACCAGAAAGCACCATAACCCCTCTAACCATTCATGTATTTGTGCTCTAGTTTTCCTTCAACAGAAAAGTAGATTGGAATTAGGTTAATACACCACCACCAAAAGAAAAACCAGAATTAATACAGGCTTAATGTCTGTACCTAGGCAACTCTGTTGGATCCTTCCTGATGTTACTGTACAGCCACACATGTTGTGACCACCACGGTACAGTCTCTGAGGCACCGACAAGGCTGGCTGTGTGAAATCGCTGGTCAGCAGCCAGCACAGCCCATCCCACGAGGGAACTGAGAACCGCCACCACCCACGGGGATCAGGCAAATCCAAGCATTTCTGAAGAAGCTCATCCGAGTGGCAGATGTGGCGTGCGGCTCTTTTCTCTCAAGAGCAAGGGGAGGGATGCAACATATCATCACATCCTCATCTATACCTAAGCCCATCAATCTTTGTCCTTTAAAAAAAAATCAATTTTTGTTTCCAGAGCTACATTATTTTTTGTATTACCAAATAGCAAAAAGACAGCTCATCTACCTCGAGAAGTGACTCTCCCAGTATTGGGCGGCAGTGAAGAGTTTATCAGTTATCTGCGCAAGGAATAGTCCAAATCCTGGATTTGGGTTTGGTGGGGTTTTTTTGAGAAAAGGCCAGATACTTGTATTTGCTTGGAGCTGAGAATTACGGTCACCTGTAAGAGCATGCAGACGTCTGTATTAAGTCTGACCTGCTGTGACTTAGCCCAGTGAAACCCATTCTGTGACGACCAGAGCCTCAAGACACTCAGCATGACGCACGCTGCTCTATTGAGTAATATAAACCAATGTGCTTGGTTGCAGGACTTCTCCTGGGAAAAATGGGCGAGCGAGGAACTCCGCTGGTTAACGTGTGCCAGTGTCTGAATGAAGCAGTTATGAAAATTGTCTCAATGGCAGTTTGGTAAATCTGTTTTTGATTGATTTTCTTACCTGCTATCTAATGGTAATGCAAGTCATACGTCTACAAGTATCTACTGTGAGCACTGGATTTATTTTCGTATGACTGTACCACACAGTGCCAAATACTGTAGTGACTGTCTTGTAGTGCTTCAATGATTGCTGCATCCTCATAAATATTTTTTTATGCTTAATCTTTGTAGGTACTTCCCCTTTGGCATTGTATTTCTCATTGCTGGAAAGATCCTGGAGATGGAAGATCCATCGGTTATAGGACAGAAGCTGGGACTATACGCCATTACAGTAGTGTCAGGGCTAGCCGTCCATGGACTCATTCTCTTACCGCTGCTTTTTGTGCTCATCACCAAGAAAAACCCCTTTGCTTTCATTCAGGGGATGCTGCAAGCCTTGCTGATCGCCTTAGCTACATCTTCCAGGTACGAAAACGTGGCTGCAGGATGCCGACACAGCCGAGAGGCATCTGGTTTAGTTGTGGGAGCTGTGGGAGAACAGGTATCATTCAGACAAAGAAAAATGATGCTCCAGCACTCTTTGAAATGAGACCACTTCCAGTGTGAGCAGTCAGCGGGATGCTTCGCGCTGCCCTGGTCCTCGGCGGGAAGAGCCTCAACGCATCTTCAGACCCAGCCAGCTCGCGTTGCTCTTCTGCCCACCCTCTCCCAGGGTTTTCCCAGAGCAAAGTAGCAATGTTCGCGCACGTGTGTGCTTCTTTTAATTGCTGCAGTCAGTTTTCTTTCAAGTAATTAAAAATAGGACTCTTGCAGGTGCTTTATAAAACAACGTGGGGTTATGATCCTCAGTTTTAATTGAAAACTTTACTGAAAAGCTTAAATCAACTCCTGTGTATCCCAAGCTGCTCCAAAGAAAAGTGTTGCCTACTTTTGATAAGATTTTAGAATATTAGATTATTTTTATCTATTTTATTTTCATTGAAAAACATTCTTTATAACAATGAAGAAACTTTACATTACTACCGTCCTTTCTGGAAGACTCGCCGTTAAAACATTTTCTTAGAAAACATTTCATTAGGCAAAGGGTTTTTCCAGCCTCCCTAATGTTAAATTCTTCACCTAATCCCAATAAAACCATCTAGGATTGTGCCTTCCTCCACCAGCGCCCACCGCTGCAGGTCTCCTCTGCTCCCGTTAACTACCCGAGGACCCCGCGCTTGGGTCTCCAGCTCCGTCTCCACCCGGCGTTGTCCTTCCTCTCCGCTCTGCGGCTAAGCAAGCTGGAGAGCCGTCACGCGGGCGGGGGTGGGAGCACTCTGCTCCGCGTCCCGGGGGCTGGGGGCCACCGCGCTACGTGCTGCAGCCAACTCCTTTCGGAAAAGCAGTCCCTGCCTCCAAGGGTCTATCGCAATCCCACTGACTACTTTTCCGTGCTCATTTCCTTTCTTCCACTTCGGCTTCTTCCTCCACATCCTTATCCCGACTCCTGCGTGACAGCTCGCGTCTCTGTGCGAGACAGAAACGAGAGAGGAAGGCCGGGGTGTGCAAGAGGCGAGGCAGCTGCGGCTCGGAGGAGGCGAACAAGGAACGAGGGGTCTGGCTGGACCCCGGCACGGCCAGGACGGGCAGATGCTGCCATGTACCAACGTTCGAGGTGCTGCAGGGTTAGCGCGAGGACCAGGGATGCACGAAAAAGCTGGAACCATCACACAGAGCTGTTCACAGAGAGCGGTGCCTTCGGCCACTGAAATGACATTCTGACATTTTATCTTGCAGCCAGCGGCTAACTGACTCCTTGGCTAACTGTGTTTTCCCCAGGTAGTGCAAGTTGAAGAAACTTTCACTGCTTTAGCAATTCGTGTAACACTGCTGCTGTATTTATGCGCAGGAGGACTTGTATTTCTATACTGTTACGCTGATTCCTACTTATAAAGCTCACTGCAAACAACAGAAAGAATTACTGATCCTTTCTTGTTCTGCAGCTCAGCAACCTTGCCCATCACCCTGAAGTGTCTCCTGGAGAACAACGGAATAGACAGACGCGTGGCACGATTTGTCCTCCCCGTCGGTGCCACCATCAACATGGACGGCACCGCGCTGTACGAGGCGGTCGCCGCTATCTTTATTGCCCAGGTCAACGAATATGACTTGGATTTGGGACAAATTATAACAATAAGGTAAATGTTTCTTTGCAGCAGCCCAATTATTTCCTCTTCATATTTATAGACGTTATAACAAACTCTCTCAGTTCTCCCATTTGGCAGAGACCTTGCTACTGCGGAGCTGAACTTTGCTGGAAAGCCGAGAGCAGGGAAAGGTGCGGCACGTACCAGCCCCCTGCGCCGTGGGCCAGGGAAAGCTCGGGCTCTGCACCCACAGAATTTGCTGCAGAATCAAAGACTTTGCCTGTAGGTAAAAGCCAGACTGCGAACTCAGGGCATGGCTAGAGCAGCTCAACACCTGCAGTGCAGGTGAATAGCACAGCAGCGTTTCTGCAGGTGTAATTTACTCCCCTTCAGGAACTGGATATCCTAATTTTATAAACAGGGAAACAAAGCACTTACTTACCTAGATAAAAATAAGTAAGTACAGTTGCAAATGTTTAGCAATTGGAGGCAGGGGTTACCCACACTGGAAGGCGGAGGGGTGCTGTGCAAGCACAAAGCCAAGAGTACCTGCTGCAAGCCCTCAGCCACGATGTGCACGGGCAGGGGGTCGGGACAGCATCAGGGAGCAGGAAGGTGGAGGAAGCCAGGTTTGATCCAATCCTTTCATACAGGAATAGTTTTACTTTGCCATGCAAACATACTTGGGTTTTGTTTTTTTAAAAACAAGCAAAACACAGTAATTGTGCCGCCTCCTTCTCTTTGCAGCATAACAGCAACAGCAGCAAGCATAGGGGCAGCCGGGATCCCCCAGTCCGGGCTCGTTACGATGGTCATCGTGCTAACTTCTGTGGGGCTGCCGACCGACGATATCACACTCATCATCGCAGTCGACTGGGCTCTGTAAGCATTTTCCAAACGCAATGTTATGGGCGGGTGCTAAGCACCAATTCATGGTGATGTATTTGAAGCCGCTCTCAGGGAGGCAAAAGGAGATCCTTAATCTCAGATCACAAGGCCAGGAGCCAAGTGTGAGATTCTTCATTTTCCGATCATTTGCTTGAAATAGCCCGTGTTAACTATAGGCAAACAGTCTCCCAAAGGAGTGCTTGACTTGAAGCATTTCTGTTCCGAGGTGCCCATCGCTGTCTAGTGCATCATTAAGGGCTCTACATGGAAGAAGTGGTGATGCAAATTTCAAACTGGATGAGCACGTATTGCACAAAAATTGCAAATTCCCTTCTGTGGAGACCTCACATCTGCATCCCCAAGATAACGTGATTGAAATGATTGAAGAAAATTTGTTTGATCAGAGAGGGGTTCATAACAGTATCTGTCAGGTGTAGATGACAGCATCCCTACTCCTGGGAATGGGATCAGCTACTCTCTCAAGTAAGGTCCCCAGTTTGAAATACCAGCTTGTCCTGATCTGTTATCAAAATTCCTATTTGATTCTACAACACATCTTTGTTGGAGGTCTCAAATAAGTAACAAAATCTATCTTTCTCAAATATGTATACATTTATGCTTTTAAGAGATCAAAAGGATGCTACTTTCCTCTGTAGCATGAGGTAGAAAATGAGCAAAGCAGGTGCATAGTCTTATCTTCATGAAGCATTACTGCGTAAGGCTGCTAGTTAACGTATTCCCTAGAAATACCTCAAGTCCTAGTCTTCTCCAAAGCGTCTACTCTGTGAACAAAGGAGGATGAACACGATGACAAGAGTCAACATGAAGTGGTGGATGGTACAGTATTTGTTTTGGTGCATTATCCCTGGAAGAGGAACAAGGTTGGTAAGGCAGGGTGAAAGATATCTGGCTTCACAGAATGAGGAATTAAAGTTAGCCAAAAAGATGCTAACAAGAAGAGAGTGAAAAAATGGGTGGGAACATGCAATTGTTTAAGAAAATGGCATGATCTCCAGGAAAAAAAAACACCAACAAAACAGTCAGAGAAATGGATAATAACTATAAACCACTGGCAATTATTTAAAATATGTGCTCATCCAGTTTGCTGTTAATATTTCTGAAACATGGGCATTTTCACAATTAAAAAGTAGAACGGAGAAATAGATGTCACATCGAAACAGTAACAAGGTGAAGTATGAGTTGGTTGCACACCAAATCATAGCAGTAAGGTAGGCAGTTCTCAAACAGATGTTGCAAAACCCTCTCTTGCATTTAATAAGCAACTTCTCCCTCAAACCCATATATCACCAGAACTAAAATATCACTGGAGTTTCTAAAAGGACGGACGACATTTTCAAAGGACTGCATCCAACACTGAGGAAGTCTATCTTCCAGCGAGACCCTCTTTATCTTGATGGATGAAGACCAGATTAATCTTGAGACAAAAACTGATGCTTGATTACATTTGTCACAGACAAACAGAAGTCAAACATAGGCAGTTTGACAAATGTGCCATTTTAAAGCACCAAGATAAATATGAAGCAAATTAGCTTGGTGAAAAAACAGAGAGAGTAGACACTGACTTCTACATAATTGACACGTGGGTTGCTGATTTGTACGTCATGGCCATCCCGGACAGAGAGGAAACAGCATTGAGTATCCTGGCTGCTTTCCTCTTCCTTTTGCATAAAAGGAGGTTTAACTTTTCAGGTGAAACTTTTAAAATTGGAACACAATGCGAGTTCAATCTTTAAGCCATTACCTGCTGCAAAGCGCTGGCGCTTTCTACTGATGCGAGACGTGCTTGGATAGACAGGAGAGGTGCTGGGGCTGGATAAACAAAATCTCCTTCCTGAGAGGCATCTCAGGGTGTTTTATGACCCACTGAAGCAGCTCACCCCCATATTGTGCAAAAATGATGACGATGCATCAGTTTGGGAAGCAGCACAGGTGGGTGTATGACTAAAGAGACAAGCACGACGAGACAAAAGCAGCCCCATCACCTTCATGGTACTGGGCTCACACAGACAGCGCGTGTACCATTTCCTCTCTGTATTTGTGAGACCACCACCACGCTTGTCTCAACCTACCATTAGCAAACACAGTGGTAGAGACATTAGGGATGGAGGCTGACATGTTTCAAAGCCACAGAAGACCCCAGGCACGTTGGCTCGGGCCACCAGCTGCATCCTCACGGCTCTCTCTCATCTAGGGATCGATTGCGAACTATGACCAACGTCCTTGGTGATGCTCTGGCTGCTGGCATCATAGCGCACGTCTGCGAGAAAGACTTTGCCCCAAAGCCCGCAACGGTACGTACAGCTTGTCTGGGAGAGCAGGGGAACGCGGGAGGCGTAATGACAGCACTGACACAACGCGTGCGCTCGCTTAAGAATTAAAATTGTACTTTTTCTTTTTGCAGCAAGATCCAGTAAGCAACACAGGCAAATGTCCTTCTGCGGAGACCTCACATCTGCATCCCAAAGATAACGTCATTGAAATGATTGAAGAAACTTTGTTCGATCAGACAGGAGTTCATTACAACATCTGTCAGGTGTAGATGACAGCATCCCTACTCCTGGGAATGGGACCTTGGTGCTAAACACTGACACCGTGAATGTCATACATGGATGCTCTGCAAGACGAAGGCCTTACTTGGCACAGAAAGTGGAGAAGTCCTCGCTATGCTTTGAAGACTGTGGGAGTGCCCAGCGAGCACCCAAAGAGCACGGCTCTGCCATGCGGGGGGGAGCCAACGACTCCTTCCACCCGAGGACACGGCTGTGAGCTTGCTGCCCTGACTGTCCCAAGCAGCTGGGAGATGAAGGTTTTATGCCTGACATTTTTGCAAGCCCTGGTCTTTTTGAAGGTTAGGGAGGCAAGCAGGCATTAGAAAACTGGGACCAGACTAGCTGAGAAAGAGTAAAGATGGGACAATGATCTGACACCTTATGGCAGCAGCCCGTATCTGCTGGCCAGGCTGCACTCTGTAAGGTTTTATTTTCTTTATTATAGAGATTACTTTTTTTAATCATTACTTTTTTTTTTTTTTTACTAGGGTCTCATCTAAAAACTAAGATTAAGTGAATTTTTGTCTAGAGCTCAAAATCCATGTTGGACGTAACTGGATTTTCCAGCCGTTACACAAAGACAGCTTGTTGAAGTGTTCCGCTCTTGGCATGGACAGCGAGATTCATTTTAACTGCAGGGATGGAAGGACCAGCTGTATCCGTGTTTTTACTGGCTGTTTTATTACAGTGAAAATAATTGACCAGGCCCAATTGCAAACACATTGATTTTCCCAGCTAAGAATCTGTCCCCAAGTTCAAATTCCAATTACAGCCTTAAAATCCAGGCTTCCCAGGGCAGCCTTCTCCACAAAAGCCTTTTATACCAACGATTCAGGTCGCTGAATTCATTTCTCTCTCAAAATGCCATCTCATCCCCTTTCTCCCTCTTGCTTTGTCTTCACTGCCACAGTGTTAAGACTTGTGGAAGCAGCTTAAATTCCCACTAACATCACTTAACTCTTCTCCAACTGCACATTAAGAAAAAATTTCCTGTGAATAATCCTTCATGCTGGAGTCAGGGGTTTTAAAATATTTTCTAATTTAGAGGAAACATTAATTCCACTTTTGCCAAATGAAAAGCAGAAGTTATTAAATATTGTAAACCAGCATTTGCACAAAACCTAGTCGTCTTCTCCCTATTAACTTCAAAAAGCCTTCAAAGCACCAGAATCACAGTCAAGGTTAGCTTGAGGTAATGGACGCCCCCCCCAAGGGGCGTCCAGCCCACCAGCACCAAAAGGCAGCCGAGATGAATCCTGCTTTTCATACACATTCCCCTCTCGTTAACGAGCTCTGGACATTACAACTCAGAATCTTAATCCTGCCATAGAAGACGGGACCGAATGTCCACGACAGAGGTTTCGTAGGTCAGCGGTGGGGACGCGGGCTGCGTCTCCGGGCACTCACTCACGTCACAGGCTCTGCCTTCTGCAGAGCAGCCGGATTTCCTCCCCTGCCTCCAGAGGCTGCAGTCCTCCTAGTAACGACTCAAAACAGCGCATCCTCAAGCTTACTGCAACGGGAAGAACAAATTATTACTGACAAAATTGAGTATTATATCTCAGGAATAATCTAGAGCTGGTGAAGCAAGCACAGCTCCGTGCAGCTTGCCTCAGGAGGTGCAAGTACTGTGGTTTATCAAGTGTTGGCAACATCTCCTAGTAGCTGGCGAGATCCATTTTAGCAGAGAAGCTTTGATTTTTGAATTCAGCAGCAGGGACGTTGGTTCTATTAAGGTTAACAAATAAAAGTCTGTTATGTCAGAGGCGATACAGTCTTGTACCTTACGACAAACACAGTAAGAAAGAGCTTTAACCACTCAGCAGTCTCAAAACGGGGCTGTAATCACTTTGCCCTTCTAACAGGATAAAGCAAGGAAAATAAAATAATTCAAATGCTTCTTAAAATCTGTCTGTGGTCTGGTAAAAAGTGAAGCCACCATTATTGATGTGAAAATGCCAAAGGCAGCAAGGAAAATCCATCTTCTTCAGCGCTGCAAACAGGCACAGATGAGGCTGCCTAATACCTTTAACAGGAAAAAGAAATTGTGAAAAAGTTAAAGCAGCAGATTTACTGAATGCCCAAGTCAAGCTGTCTCAGCCGATGTCCTTGGGACGGTACTGGCCCAACCCCACTTCATTTCCAGTGATCTGCTGCCGGGGGAACATTTACACCAGTTTGCATCTGCTGCTCAAGCAGGGAACAGCAGCCCCGACTTGCCAAAACTGAAAGCAGGCAGGCACCCATCTAACCCCAAAATGTCAGCACGGCTATGTACACAGAGTAATGCAAACTTATCAGTGGTTGAGGGACAGGAGATTTCCAGAAGAGATTTCTAGAAGACAAGTAGTGCAGAGACTGGCAAAGCCACCGGGCACCATCTGGAGGAGTTTTATTCTGTCCCGACTGTGCTCAGGAACACCAGCAGTGGAGGGAGGCAAAGTAACGTGTGCTGCACACCAGGCAACTCAAGGTATCTTGCTTAGCAAACTGAAAAGTACCTATTCAGCCGCAAAAAAGGTCAAATAGGATTAAAACCTACTGAATGATATGCTGCACCTTCGCAGTCCTTCAGCCTACCTTCCGAGATACCCGTAAGAAAAAAAGGTGCCTCTCTCCACTCTAGAAATGGAAACGTCAATCTGCTTCTGCTGCATTGCCGCGCGACTGGAGACCGTGCAGGCAATGCGAGGTGCGCACACTAAACAGACACTGAAATCTGCTGTACGGAAAGGACACAAGCTCCAAACCCAAGTTTCTTCCTTGGAAACCCTTGTTTTCCTTGCAGATGCACAAATCTCAGCTGCCATTGTGACGTTGCCCAGATTATGGCTTGTGTGTATGGTATCACAATTCATAACTGTATAATCATAATAATCATAACCATAAACTAAAATCCTGTGAAACGTATTTATGGGTTTTGTGATTATTAAACAAAAGGAAAAGCAGAAGCAGCCCTGGGCTTTATGGCACCTCCCAAACACTGGCACAAAATCCACCTGTTTGGCAATACGAGCTTTCATTAGAGAATTACATTTCACCAATGATTTTGCGGATGTTTCACCATAAACACTAAGCTTAAATGAATTTGCATGAAACTGATCCTTCAGCTCGATTGTAAGCTTTACACAAGAGATACCAGCTTGTTTCTACAGCCTATGATTAAGTTGCCTCAATCTTACATATGGGTTTCTTTCTGTGCTGTTAGATGTCTTCCAGAGCATGAATTATTTTTACATATCTGAAAAGTGACAAGTTTTGATCAGGACCTCTCACTCTTTCTTAGGAATTATATATAGCGTGACCACAGCAGCAGTGTAGCATGGCAATATTTGAAATGATATATATATATATATAGTCAGTAGAGAGCGCTGCTGCCTTTCTGTCTTTTAGATCAAAATGTACCTTGGTTTGTGTTTTACTGAAAAGGAGAAAAAAAAAACCAACAAAATAACTCAATGTTGTACCATGTGACAAAATAAAATCAAAACAGATGTGAAAAACAGCCAAAACCTTCCATTTTTAAATTTAAAATACTATGTTTCAAAATTACTCCATGCAAGTTTTCTACAACAACTTAAAAATTCCATTACATAAGTTTTGAAAGTCTTTATTTAAATCTATTAAAACACCAGGTTTCTCTGTAAAATGAGATTTTCAAAGCAGCTCTAAGCAACACACATTGCTCAACTACCTTTTTTTTTTAATTAGCAGCACATAACCTACACTAAATGCTACTTTGAGTAAATGCCTCCCTAGCGAATGTGCGCTGTGAGTTGTCCGTCTTTGCCTCTTCCCTTCTGATTCACTGTACATATTCATTTCCTTAAAGAATTTCTCATTTTGCCTGATGTGATAATAGAACTTTCTAGAAAATCCAAATAAATCATTTCAATCCTTGCTGACACGACACATTAGCAACCCCTGCCCATACAATTCCGTAGATCCTACTGAAGGTGTAGTGGCAGAAGAGCAAAGGAAGACACAGCACAGCAACACCTCTGTTCATAGTATCATTTGTATCCCGCTTCACAACAGAAGTTCACACCTACTTTATAAATTCTTTATGTAGTGTTCAAATGCACCTGCAACTCTGCTGGGCACCCAGGATTTGTGCTCAGATACCCCACCACCATGCAGAACAAAGCAGCCACCCAGCAGAGCGCGTTAGTGCTGAGCTAAGCACAGAGCACACAAGCTTTATGGACCCCTTAGCTTCGACCTCGACAAGCCTGGGCAATTCTGCACCACGTTGCTTCTGTGTTTGACATCCTCCATCTGCAAAATTCCCAAGTTTTCAGCGTGGGGAGGAAGGCGAAACATCCCTGGGTAAGATGCTCCAAAATCCACGTCAGGAGTCAGCCAGTCTTGTGCAAGTGCAGATGTCCTGGTGCCTAGGTGCGCAATGTAGACTTACCTTTGTTTTCTAGAAGTTACACACCTCATTTAAACTACACAAATGAAGTCCCCTGTACTCAACAGTGAGAGACAGGCACCTTTATGAGCAGTAGATCTCATATTTTAGGAGCAGATGAATAGTCTTCTTAAGTCTCTTACTGATGGGCTTGGACTGGGTGCTAAGATTTTGAATTGCTTGAGTCAGTAGCACGAATCCCATTCTAAAAAATTACATGTCTGAGCAGATACATTTATTTTCAAAATGCTGAGCCTTCAAACTCTGTAACACCAGATTTTGGCTTTGATTTACCAAACCACAGCTTGACACAGACAGGAAAGAACCATAGGGATGAAACATTACATCCAACACAAAACTTGCAGCTTCACTTACCTGGCCATCTCACTTCAGAGATCTTCTGCTCACTGTCCTTCTTTGAGCAGAACCACAACGAAAATGCGTATTTGTCCATTCATAGAATCATAGAATCTTTGGGTTGGAAGGGACCTTTTATGGTCACCTAGTCATTTGTGCTATTCATTTTTGTTTCCCCCCCCCCCCCCCCCCCCATGAACAGTGTCATTCTCCTCCTTC